ATGGTCAGACACAAGAGCTTACAATAAGAAGCAAATGCATGAATGTACATATGTAATTTTCTAAACATCTCAAAAGGAAATGATTCCACTGAAAGCATAAAGGTGTAATTCAAAGTACTGATCACTTCTAACGAGTGCCACAACTGTCAGGCACAGCCATGATAACACACAAGTCCTACATAAAACTAACATCAGTACTTCAAAAGTATAGAAACATAGATGCAGAACATTCTATTTAAACCCTTTCTCCCTTTGCCCCGACATAAGTAGATAGCAAGTCCACAACATTTAGAGTCAAGCAAGGCATCTCCTTTTTCTTATGGAAAACAAAATCCTTTCTCTATAGCAAAATGTTCAAAATCATCATCTTAAAGTTTTCGAGGAATGAAACATGCAATAGCATATATTTATGATCATTCAAATTGCTAGAAGAATCCGTTTGACGTGAACACAAATGAAGAACTTAAACCACTGAATGGATGGATGTTAAAGCAGACTCAAGNGAACTTGAGACCTTGAAAGGGAGCAAACCCCAAGGCTCAAGTCAATTGTCACCAGGCCAACCCCCAAGGGTTTCCTAAATTTAGATTCTTGGGAGATCAAAAACTTGTTGAGATCCAAATTGTTCTTTTTCAGTTTGAGATTTTCAATACGAATGTAGCATCTACTCACCAGCAGGTTCATCAATAACCTGCAAAATCAATATTTGGGGGACAAAAGTTGTCAATAGGCAGCCAACAAAGATTTAGGATCACCAAAGTAGCAAGACATTTCAACTCACCTTCGCAGCCAGATAAGAAGCATGTCTCCTTGCACAACCTGATCTTATCAGTTCCTGAAAGTACATCATAATCAGAGAACGAATAGAAGAAGAATATATCCAACATCATTTTGAAAAATGAGAACTGGACAAAAATTTGATCAGCAGTTTCAGATCATAAACTTGAAGCATGCCAAAAGTTTCAAACAAGATAAGAGTTTCAATTCACATTCACAACTCTTATGTTTTTACTTTCGAATGATTGTAAAATTCATCAATTATTTTCTTTTTGCCATAAATAAAGTCGAGCCTGCCATTCAAATTGACATCCCTCTCTCCTTATCTACATGAGTACAAAAAGGCCAGGTGATCTTTTCCGTTAATTATTTTTAATCAATCTATTTTTCCCTAACAATAATGTTGCCTGAGTTTGAACTAAGATATAATTATTGTAAAGGTCCCCCTTTGCTTGAAAATTATGTCAAAGGGTCAAAGCAAGCTCATAAGAACAACCCTTGACGAAACACCAGTTTCTATCCCAAAGTCAATTAATATTGGAAAATGGCACTCAAGGTGTAGTTTAGTGGTCAATGAAGTGGAAAGAGAACTATGAGTCTCAAGTTCTAATATCAACGGATGCAAAAAGCACTAGGTAATTTTCTCCCATCTGCTTAAGCCTTAGTAGGCATAATTACCCAATACTGAGTAAATAACTTTCTGCGTCTAGCTAAAACCTCTAAAGTGCATATTGAATATAAAATTTCTAAGGTTTCTAGATTTAAATGTTGAACTTGAACCAAAATAAAAGAATTTGAATTCTGAAGTATCAAAATGGGGATTAGAGTAGCTTCCAGAGCTTATATTCAGTGATAAAGACGGAATGTAGGATGTATGGTTAGACACATGTCACTAGTTCAAAGTCTGCCACTGACTGAAGCCTAGTAGTTAAGTGGGAGCAGGGTAGATGGACGGGGCCCATATTCCCTCAAGTTCCAGATCTGCGTGCCAAAGGAATTCGGCCAGCTAACTCATAGGGAATTCTCGGTTATAAACAAATAGGGACTTCAACTAGTTTGGTATATCTGCAGATCTTCTTTCTGAATTCTTGAATTAGTCAAACTTTGATGCTTGATCTGAATTTCCGACTTAGATATACATTGGGGAGCACTACGTGCTATAATGACCATACAGAACTCAACCACTTCGCACATCAATCATAAGGTTAAGTTGATAAATAGAGGCGGATCCAGGATTTAAATTTTATGGGTTCAACTTTTAAGGTATTTAGTATTGAACCCATTATATTTTTAAAGTTATGGGTTCATATCTACTATTTTTGCAATTTTAATAATTTTTACATATAAATTTTTACTCCATGTCGAAAGTTATGGGTTGAATCGAACCCATTGGTAACAAACTACATCCGCCCTCTGCTGATAATGACAACAGCCAAATGTCAGAAAAGCAAATGCACAGAGAGAGCTTTCAAAAATTTACACTCATTAAGGAGTCAAACTGAAACTATGGTGCACTAGGATATAACCTTTTCGACGCATAAACTCTAAGCAATTATCTTCTAAAACTACTAAAATTTACTTCCACATAAAAGGCACATTACGACTCAGCATATGAGATAAAGTATGTAACAGTTGAGACAAAGAAACCCTTAACATCTATCAAAACCATCAAGCACAACATAGGTTCAAGCGATACATTCCAGTACATATATCTGATATTAGGTAGTTCTAATTACAACAATAAGCAAAATTTGACATACCCTTTTGGCAGAAACATTGAAAGCAGCACTTTCAGCAGCCATAGACGAGAAACGACTAATAACCAAATCAGATAAGCTTCTTGAAGGCATATATTCCAACAAAGAATCAAACTTCTTGTTTGATTTAACAACATTCGACCACCACCTAGTTTTCAAAGAAACCCCGCTTCTCCTCACATGCTGCATCTTTGAAATCTGAGGTTTTCAATGGCTTCTACTACGCCTAGATTGATGAACTAAACGCACATATATAGGATAAAGGTGGATCAAAATATTGAACACAGCGAAGCAAAGAAATCGAATATAGATTTCGTAGTGACCCTAAAACCCTCTTAGAGAACCCGAACTGGGGTTTTGGTCTGTTTGGGTTTGGATTGCAGGTCACGTGCTACCTGCAAATAGTCAAGACTATTTATTTTTATAATTGTAACAAAAAGTTACCATAAATTAGCAGTAGTAATAATCAAATTTTCATATTTGAAATAAAAAATTAGTTTATAGATAATGAAAATATCTAATTACCTCAAATCATGTATGCGATGCTAATTAAATAAATAATAGTTCAGTGAGATTTGCAGTCGTACTCTATATTCGTGCCACCTTTTAACCTGTACTCTATTTTTAAAAATTATTGATTTAGTAGTCAGCTAACAAAAATTCCGTAATAGTATGATAATTACACACCTGACAAAATATTAAACCTGCATCATGCATTAATCACGTGATCTCCTACTCTCCTCTCGGCAGCTTTATCAAAAAATTAGAAACTTATCCAGATTCATCTTTAGAATCACACTTGCATGAAGTTGTTTCACGTTGAAGCTAAAATTTCATGCTAATGTAGCATGAAGTTGTTTCATGTTGAAGCTAAAATTTCATGCTAATATAGCATGAAATTGTTTCATATTGAAGCTAAAACTTCATGCTAATACATGTTGAAGTTATATATCCTGTAGTGTACAGTTTTTTCATGAGTTTTATCCGAAACTTCAATCTAAACATGCTGAAGTTATTTAGTTCATTTGCTAAAATTTCAGACTAAACATGCTTAAGTTTTTTAGTTCATTTGCTAAAACTTCAGACTAAACATGCTTAAGTTTTTATCTTGCAGTATGCAATTTTCTAATGAGTTTTTGCTAATGCATGCTGAAGTTATTTAGTTCATTTGCTAAAACTTCATACCAAAACATGCTGAAGTTTTTTAGTTCATTTGCTGAAACTTCAGACTAAACATGCTTAAATTTTTGTCTTGCAGTATGTAATTTTCTAAAGAGTTTTTGCTAATGCATGCTGAAGTTATTTAGTTCATTTGCTAAAACTTTATATCAAAACATGTTGAAGTTTTGTAACGCAATCTACAGTTTTATTCTGAGCTTTATTCGAAACTTCAGTCTAAACAAGCTGAAGTTTTTTAGTTCGTTTGCCAAAACTTCAGTCTAAACATGCTTAAGTTTTTGTCCTGCAGTTTATCAATAGTCTTTTATTAAAGAAGAGCAAAATTGTCTTTTTAAAATACTTTTAATAAAAAATGGGTACGGATGCAAACGGAAAAACAAAACGAGTATAAGTTAAAAGGCGACGACCAAATAGGGCGTCCCATGCAATTATTTAAATGGCGTTTTCATAATTTTATATGGAATTCTGTAGTTTATTGTTATTATACAAGAATTGCCATACCACATAGAAGTTGATAGGCAATAATATAAAAGAATTAGCACATGATTAATAGTTGATTAATGTGGTAAAAAAATATATAGTTATCAAGCTCCGATTATTAGCATAAATTACCTTTTTTATATGATAGAAAATATTTCTCCGCAAAATGTTATCTTTGGGAGACCATTGCAGTGTTTAATTGTCCTCAATCGTGACAATTTACTCTAAGAAAAATATTGTTCTCGATCCTTATGAAATAAAGACATCTTAGTTTACAATGTTTCTACTCTTACTTTATACAACTACAATTGATACTTAGACATAAAAAAATGTAACCTAAACACTATTTCATATCATAGCATCTACGTAATATATTTTTACACCCAATTAAATATTAAATATGATTTAAAAAATTATTTACCTAAAATAATCTCCAAGTTAGTAAGAATATTTGAAATCAATATGCGAATATTTCGAATCAATACATGTAACCAAATATAATCTATGTTTGCTTTTGCTCAAATTAAAAAGAATTTCGCTAAGAGTATTCAAGATATATAAAATATAACTTTTGATATGTATATATAGTATAATCTTTTATATACACAATGTAATATTTGACAAAAGGTATTCAACTGACCATCCTTCCGTCCACGTGGCTCCGCAACTGGCTTTTACTATATAGTAGATCTTCTCAATGCAACCACAATTAGCATGTGTAACATATATTTTTATCTAATTGAATCACTTAATTATGATAAGTTAATATGGTTTGATGTAAATATTGGTATTATATGTATAAATTTTTAGCAAAAAGAGAGAAGCAACTACTAGCATAGTACCTTCATTAGAAGTTATCAATAGGTTCACTAGTACCTCTATTTAGGTTATGTTAATTGTTGCTTTGTTTGGGTTTTTAAAGATGCTCCACAACGAGCTCATAGAAGGCTTATTTTGTTGACTCCCAAACATTTGGATAGTTTACTACTTTACTCATGAATGAGGCTATTGAACTCTCTCGCTGAAAGCTCAGCGACATCCTTGTCAAAAGTAACGGCAACCCATTGTCGTGCTACCAAACTAGGACGCATTAGCGATACATACACTGCCACTAACATCTTGAACGGGTACACAAAATGCCGGGAGATTGGTACTGCTCTCAAGCTGTTCGACGAAATTCCCTACAAAGATACTGCTTCTTGGAACATCATGGTTTCTGGATACGTCAATTCTGGGAAGTTTCATGGTGCTTGGCTGTTCCTTAATTTGATGAAAGAACGTGGGTTTTGTTTAAATGACTATACTTTCGGAAGCATACTAAAGGGTATTGCTTCTAATGGCCTATTGTCCTTAGGCCAACAGGTGCAATGTGATGTGGTTAAAATGGGCTATGTGGGGAATGTTTATTCCGCCAGTGCTTTGCTGGACATGTACGCTAAGTGTGGCAAAGTTGACGACGCAAATAAAGTGTTTCAACGCATGCCTGAACGTAATTATGTCTCATGGAATGCTATAATAGCAGGGTATGCAGGGAAAGGTGAGATAGAATATTGCTTTTGGTTGTTGAGAGGTATGGAGCAAGAGGGTATGCAACTTGATGATGGCACATTCTCTCCGCTTTTAACGTTGCTTAATGAGAAAAGGTTTTACAAGGTGACAATGCAGGTTCATGCAAAAGTTAAAAAGCTTGGTTTATGTTGTCAAGTCAAAGTGGTCAATGCTCTAATCACTGCATATTCCCAATGTGGGAGTATTGAAAGTGCGAAAAGTGTTTTTGTTGGTACTATTAGTTGCAGAGATTTGGTAACGTGGAATTCAATGCTAGCAGCTTATTTAGAACATGATGAGGAGAAGCAGGCATTTGAACTATTCTTGGACATGGAAAGGCTTGGGTTGGAAATGGATTCTTATACTTATACTAGTATAATAAGTGGTTGTTTCGAGGATAAACATAACAGTCAAGGAAAGTGTTTGCATGCTTTGATTATTAAGAGAGGACTGGAAAATGTAACTATAATCTCGAATGCATTGATTTCCATGTATGCCAAATCATGCACAAACTATATGGATGATGCGCTGACAGTATTTGGAAACCTGGATGTAAAGGATTCTGTTTCTTGGAATTCCATTTTGACCGGATTGTCACAAACGGGTTGGAGTGAAATTGCTTTCAAATTTTTTTCGAAAATGAGGGTGGAACACCTTGAGATGGATGAATATTCCTTTTCTGCTACCCTTAGGTCTTGCTCGGATTTGGCTACTCTTCAATTCGGTCAACAAATTCATGCCTTGGCACTAAAACTGAGCTCCGAGTCATATAAGTATGTTAGCAGTGCTTTGATACTTATGTATTCCAATTGTGGAATCATTGAAGATGCTTGGAAGTCCTTTGAAGTTTCTCCTAAAGGGAGTTCAATATCTTGGAACTCGATCATGTTTGCTCATGCACAACACGGGCAGGGTAAACTTGTCCTTGACCTCTTCTTCCTAATGAAACAAAGCGAAGTGAAGCTAGACCATATAACTTTTGTGGCAGTCTTGACTGCATGTAGTCACATTGGTCTTGTTGAAGAAGGTTGCCATTTTTTCAAATCTATGGAAGCTGATTTTGGAATTGTTCCAAGAATGGAACATTATGCTTGTGCAATTGATCTACTCGGGCGGGCTGGACATCTTGAGGAGGCAAAAGAGCTGGTTAAAGGAATGCCATTTGATCCTGATGCGATGGTTTTGAGAACTCTACTCGGTGTCTGTCGGTCGTGTGGTGATATTGAATATGCAAGTGAGGTAGCTAGCCGTTTGCTAGAATTGGAGCCGGGAGATCATAGCACTTACGTTTTGCTCTCAGACATGTACCGACAAATCAAGAAGTGGGATAAAATAGCTAATATTAAGAGGCTGATGAGGGAAAAGAGTGTCAGTAAGGTACCTGGTTGGAGTTGGATAGAACTTCAAAACGAGGTACATGCTTTCAATGCAGAGGATCTATCACATCCTCGTTGCCGTGAAATTTATTCGAAATTGAGAGAACTGACAGATGAAATCATGTTCTCTGAATCTGAAAATGCTAGCGGATTAACGGTTTCTATGGCCGATCTGGAATCAGTGGTTTAACAACCGATTCAAGGCGATGGGGTTCTAGTCACTCAAGCGGGTACTGGTTCTAGTGTATTTTTATCTTGACAGAGTGATCCCTGGATAAGTATGACCTTATGAAAGAGGTTAACGCAGGGATGTAGCTGTAGCTGCATCAGCTATCCGAATAAATTGTATAGCAAGGTTGTTTCTTCACTAGTAGTTTGACCCTTTTGGTTTCGGTTTATGCTCTAGCTGCCTGTTTCTGGTCCCCCTCCCAGGCTTATATCAATAACAGTTTTAGGCTTTTGTTTCTGGTGAATTTGGCTTCTTTGGACCTGGATGCAAAGGATCCTTGAAATTCAAAGTATCATCAAGACTTGTGCTCTATAAAGCATGCTTACTTGGTGATCCAGATATATGAACAAATTCTGTTATTGCTTTACAAAGTAGACTTCTTTTTCACCGTAACACATGATATGTTTCGTTTGTAATTGTCGTTATAATAGAGTAATGGTTAGTGGAACCACCAGCAGAGAAGAATTTCAGCTGCATAACCAGTGAAGAGATATTCTCATGAAGGTTATCTGCTGCATATCTCTTATTCTATCTTCTATTGAAGTCATTTTGACATTTTGGATAGATCACAGCACCTGCACAGGAATAGTTTGGAAGGAGTCAGCGCCAAATAGCAAATGGAATTGCAGCTCAAACAGAAGCAGAAGTATTGGCATGTTATTCTGCAGTTTTGTGAGTCGTGTGTGAATGATTCAACAAGTTAAATGTGTTTACAGATCGACCTATAATTGATGTGACATTGTATTAGTGCGCCTTTCCACATTTGGTAAATAAAACCATATATATCGTCGAGTGCGTGTATCAAAGCAGTGGCGGAGCAACCTATAAGCAAGGGTTGACACCCCTTTGCCGGAATATTACAATATTTAGTTAGGTAAAATTATTATTATTATATATATATATATATATATATATATATATATATGTTGAATCCTCTTAGTTTCTTCATGTGATCAATTTTTTCTATTTTGGGACTCCTTAGTGAAAAACTTAGCTTCGCCCACTGTATCCGAGGATTCAGACACGAGACATTTGTTATGAGTTATGACACATGCTCTCAATCTTTTCTCTTGTTTCTCTTATTATATTAACTGTGTTATCGTACATTTTGTGTGTGTGTGTTTGATTTGAGTGAATTCGTAGCACCAGGAAATAAAGTAACTTTACGGATAAAGCAAATGTGTGTTCCAGAAAGAAGTAGTTAGTTGTACTGTTTAATGTTGCTAGTTAATTCATAGTTTCGGCTTAAGACCCAAAACACGAACAGTGAATCGGTTTCAAGAGTTTGCACAGTTGTAGAATCGCTTAGGTCATTGCTAGTTGTGAGATAGAGCCTGTGATGAACTTGCTAACAATTCAAATTCAACAATAGTGAATGTATGCACTAGACTCTTTTAAGAACCCTTTCTATCAACATACTAAACTTTTTAATTTTTTTTCTTCTTATTTTCTTGGCCAAGTTTTTCATAGATTTACATATTTCTTTGTTCACTAAAAGTATTTTGTCCTAATGTAATTGGTCCAAATTAATTTTTTTATGTGACAAAAAATCCAATTTTGGTATCTGGTTCAATTCACTCATCTGCAAAAAGCAAATATTGGCTAGAATCAGTAGTATTAATGGTCAGCCGGTCAATTAAGTTAACATTTGCCTTTGCATTTCAATCTGAAGGGAAAAATCAGAATAAGCAAAAATCAAGTAGAGTTAAAAGCATTATTCAATTACCAATTACTTTTTAGTAACTACATAAAGTGACAATTGGAAAATGTCAACCAAATCCCCCCAAAAGAAAATGAATTTAACCATTTGGTATAAATATAGTACTTTTTTTATACATATATTTTAGTCCGTCAACAATTTCATATTCAAATTTGCTAGATTTTAAGAGGATTACATACTTGCATATTATTTTTTATAACTGGATGGAATATCCTAGAATGTGTTGTGATTCTCGGATCAATATGAAGATTATTTGGGAGGAAAAACAACTCTATTTCACAAGAATAGAATTATAGAGAATTTACACCAAGAATTTCTCTCTACAAAAAACCTCACCAAACTCTCTTTTTGTTCTCACAATCTCTTCCTGGATTGTATTTCAATCTCTCTGGATTGATGTTTCTGTGTAAAACATAAGGCTCTATTTATAGCCTTAAAGAAGGTGGTTGGTGGTTGAATTCTTCATTCAACAATGGAGGCTTCAACAATGGTGGCTTCTAGAATGGGTTGGTGGCTTCAACAATGGTGGGCTTCTAGAATTGGTAGTTGGCAGCAGCTGAACTTATCAG